ATACATCACATGAATAAGATTTCTCAGCACTGTGTGTTCTCATATGTCGTTTTAAATTTGCTGACTGTGAAAATGCTGAATTACATACTTCACATGAATATGGTTTTTCACCGGTATGTATCCGCATGTGAATATTTAATTTTGCTTTTTGTGCAAATGCTGAACCACATACTTCACATGAATATGGTTTTTCTCCAGTATGTATTAGTACATGACATTTTAAAGCTGATCTCTTTGAGAATGCTGTACCACACACATCACAGGAATATGGTTTCTCTCCAGTATGTTTTCGTATGTGAATTTTTAAACCTGAACTCGTTGAAAAAGCTGAATCACATACTTTACATGAATATGGTTTCTCTCCAGTATGTGTTCGCATGTGTGTTTTGATACCAGAGTTCTCCGAAAATGCTAAACCACATATTTCACATGAATATGGTTTCTCACCAGTATGTATCCGTATGTGACATTTTAAACTTGATCCCTCTAAGAATGCTGAACCACATACCTCACATGAATAGGTTTTCACACCATTATGTATTTTTGTGTGTCTTTTTAAATGTGATTTCGTTGAAAATGCTGAACCACATATTTCACATGAATATGGTTTGACACCTGCCTGTGACTTCATGTCTTTTTAAATAGGAGGTTCTTGAAAATACAAAACTGCACAATTCCTTTGGAAATGTATTTTCTTTCCAATATGTTTTAAATACTTGAGTGCTTTGAAAATGCTGAATTGTACACTACACAGGAATATTATTTCTCACAAGTATGTGTTTGCCTGTGAGATTTTGACATCAGTCTGTCTGGAAATGGCAAGCTACACTCTTAACAGGAATATGGTTTATAACTTGTGTCAATCTGTATGTGTCTTTCTTACTGTAAATTCTGAGCCACACACTTCACATGTGCAGAGATTGTCTCCTGGTTATGCTTGCTGATCTACCTTTCCAAGAGAACTCCCTTCTACAGATACACTGATAATCTCTGCAAAAGAAAAAATAAGCATACTTTTAGTAGCTATCGCAAAGTAAAATTATATTTTCAATATAGCGAAAAACCTTTAATATAGATATGGAGAACTTGACTAAAGATAAAAAAAAGTTCTGGTTTGAATTTCTGGGATTCTGATCATTATTGACACTATTCATATTTGGACTATGGTACTCATCTTTGTTGTTTTCATTGCAACATTTCAGTCACTGTGTTCTCAATTTCTGGGATGAGGAGTATTCAGACTAATGTCCACATCTTTATTGTTGTTACCATATTTTGTCCACTGTAGCCTCCAGCCTTCATCTAGTGCAATGGTTTTCAACCTTTTTGCTGGAGCGGAACCACAAGGAAACATTCCAGTGGCTCGAGGAACCCCTGCAATAAATTGTCTTATGCAAAAAAAAAACCTTTTAATTATAAAAATAAAATAAAAATACTCATCTTCAGATTTATTTACAAAAAAATACAAAGACAAACTGTAAAAATATTGTATACGTCCATATGCAATTTTAATCTTTCTTCTACGGTTATTACACATGTATTAAAAAACTTCAGTTTAAATGGATTGCATTTATTTTCATTAAAAATTCAATGAGAAACTTGAACCTGATGTTTCTTGCACAAATCTTTAATATTGGGTCGTGTTTTTGACAAACACACACGAAGTTCATCTTCCACAGACAGCAATTGTGCTCACTTCTTGCGCTTGATAGTTGTCAGAGCTGAAAATCCAAATTCACACAAGTAGGATGTTGAAAACTGCATAAGAAGGCGCAGTGCTTTCTGGGTAATTGCAGGATATTCCTTTTTAACCAGCAACCAGAATGCATCCAGGCTAAGCTCAGAATGCTTCAATTTTAATGTTCTGTCACTTGAAACACTGGCAAGTTCTTCTTCTTCTGTTAATGTAAACTGTTCCAATCATAGTACTTGTGTAACTTCTTGCGGAACACCTGGGCTTTACTGGCGGAACATTAGGATTCCACGGAACCCTGGTTGAAAAACACTGATCTAGTGTATATCGATCTGAGTAACCTATGGAGAATAGCACAGTGGATTAAAGCACTGATTTGGAAATTTGGTGACAGTATTTGTGAGTTCAGTCTTTGGACTGAGAAGTGTGTACTTGAACTCAATGGAAATGGGTAAGCAATAAATGAGCAGTATTGATGAGATATACCTAGATATGGGCAGTGGAAAAATAACACTATCCCCATGCAGATTAAATAAAAGCTTCAGTTCAGAATCTCGGATCGATATATACCTAATAAAAGCCATAGAGTACAACAGCTGAAACATTGTGTGATAATAAAGATGAGGACAATAGTACAAATTCATATAGTATCCTACAATTTCTTAAATCAAACTATATTCCAAAATATAACTTCAACAAAAGTAAAAAATCATACATATCACTGCCTCTAGTAATTATGTTCACACAAGCATGTATATGCACAAAGGTGGACTATCATCTACCATGTATTCAATTGTGAAAGAAGAATAACATATATCATATTTTTATTACTTATTTCTTATTACTAATTAAATTTTGACACTAAATGACCCATAAGGAGTTGATATGCCATTAAACAAAGAAATGAAAAAAAAAATAACCTGTGATCCTCTACCTTTGCAAGAGCTAGATCAGAATGAAAATGAAGTACTGCTGCGATATGTGGGTGGGAGCTGTCCAGGTTTCACTTTCCAGTCTTAACAGAGACCAAGAGCATCTCTGCATCAATGTGGCTGACAAATTATTTTCCACCCTACATACAGATGAAATATTGAAAGCCCCTCACAATTCTATCACTATTTCCAAAGAAGTGTTTAGAATGTGATTCTAATTCTAAATTTTTTTTGTATGGTTTCAGGGTAGGTGTAATCACTATTTACTTTCCAAGTCTAGGATAATGGTTTCTGTCTTGGAAAGGTTTAAGTCATACTTCTTGGAACACTAGTAATAATTTCTTATTTAATATTCAATTTTAACAATAGTAATAATAAAATAGGTTTTATATATATTTATTGATTAGTTATTGATTATTTTCTATTATATATTCCTATTATAAGGAATTATAACTGGTATATCAAATGATTTGTTTACTCTGAGTTCTATTAAAACATATATACATATTTAGTTGGATTGATGTGAGTTTGTGACCCTGGGTTGCACACTATTTGTGATCGTCTAATGATCGCAAATAGCATGAAACCCAGGGTCACAAACTCACACCAATTCAACTAAATATGTTCTATCACTGATATTGAGTGCTTTCCAATAAGTACTGCATATATATATATATATATATATATATATATATATATATATATATATATTATATATAGATACAAATATTTAAAATATTTAAATGCTCTGTATATAATAAACAGTATTAACAACATTTACTGGCCTGAATGTCTGAGAAATTTTCATAGAAAATATGCGTCCTCTGACAGGAATCAAACCTGTATCCTATATTGAACCATCATATAGCCTGACGTGCTTTTACCGATTGAGCCACAGAGGAGCGTTTTGGTTAGCAAGGTAGTGTAAAATAAACAATCTTTAATAAATAGTGTTTATTATTGCTGTCAATTCTCAAAAACAAAGGAAATATATAAACTCACTTTCATATTTTTATTTTTTATTACAATTCTAATGATCACTTTTTTAAAAAATAAACTGGGTACCTCCAAAAAATACAAAGCAAAATAAAAAAACTAAAAAAAACGCGATCCCTAAGGTTTAAAAAGAATTTTTAAAAATGAAAAATCCTTCTTGAAGCTTTTCTTTTAGGCTTAATGTCAAACTAATAGATGAAATATAATATTTCCTATAAGCAAAATACTTTGCTCTATTTCAAAAACTAATTTAAATTGACTGGAATGAATTTTCACAAAACATTGCTGATTTTAGCACAATTTTAGCCATTTGTTATTAAAAAATCCTTTTCTTGCTAAAATAGCTGATTAGCGCCCTTTTTAGTCATCTTATAAGAAATCCTTTTGCATGACCATTTGCACAAAGCTTTTTAATATTAAATATAGTTTTTACTTAATAACAATATCACCTAACAAGTGCAGAAATTTAAAAGATTTATTTTAAAACTTTATAAATTATTCTAAAATAAAAAAAAAAAACAATGCAAATATTCATTGAAAATTTTTTCTTAAGAAAATAGTGTTCATAATATCTTGTTCATAAAAACAATTAAAAGCTTTTCTTAAATAATGTCTTAGTTTGATTGCATTTTATTTTACATTTTATGATTCAGAGCAAATTTTCGATAAATGAGCTATTTGCAAAAAAAAAAAAACAAAACAAAAAAACAACCCCCCCCACAAAAAAAAACTGAGTCCTAGCTAATATCAATATGAAATGGAGAAAAATTTAATTTCTCGAAATTTCATTAATTAAGGTATGTGTGTGTGCGTGCTAGATATTGCCAAAAAAAAAAAAAAAAAAAAAAATGTGTTTGAAGAATCATAAAACAAAATTTAATAATACCATTTTTGAGAGTGAATGTGTTTTTAAATAATTTTCTTTTTGAAACTTTTGGATATTTTGTTTTTTTATTACTAAAAAAATATTTTAAAATGAACACTGATTTCATTAACATGAAAGAAGAAAACGTATTATGAGCATTTCTAAAAATATTTTCTATTTTTTTTTTTTCCATATTTGATGAATGGAATGATTTTTTTTTAAAGTAGGGGACCTACTCGGCCTTTGAACATGTCGACAAGCGAGGACATACCTTGGGGGAGGGAATGTATTTTTTCATTAAGCAAAACACAAGTAATATTTTTTCACAAATTTAATCCTTTAAAAAGTTGCAGATTACCTAATTTTTATGTACATCTCATATGAAATTTTATGGTATTATTTTTTTTTTTTTATTAATTTTTATATCTTAGTTATGAAAAAATTTCACAACTGAAAATAACATTAGATAGGAAATAATAAATAATTATAGGTACCTCTCTCATGAAATGTTATTTTATCGATGTGTTAATTTTTCATTTTTCTTATATTGTTTTATTTCCATCCCTAGAATTGAAAATAAAAAAGAAAATAATAATTGCAGTATGTCTCTCATTGAAAAACAATTAATTTAAAAAATTAAATTAAAATATTTATTGACATAGGACATAAAAAAAATAAAACTTTTGAAAATGATGATGATGGATTCTCTGACTGACTTTGACATGTTCACAGTATGAAAAGTAACTAGCATTTTCTGAGGTTAGTTTATTGTCGTCAGGAAAAACAACTCTAAAAATACGTGACATTATTTGGGAAAAAAAAAAAGACTCAAAAACAGTATAAAATTCTTTTTAAAATACCTGTATGTTGCAGAGTGCAATAAGCTTTCAAATTTATGATCTATAAAATTAAAGATCTACTTAATAAACTGTCTAGGGAATGCTGTTTATTATAAACAGCATTCCCTAGAAGAAGGCACGGACTGAAACTTAATTTTAAAAATATTTATTACATTTTATATTTAAAATTAAAAAAAAAAAAAATTGTAAAAATTCATTTTTCATCAGAAAAATATTTTTGGTTTCAGACAATATTGTCCTAAACTGTTTAGCCTAAACTGTTTAGGCTAAACAGTTTAGGCTAAAAACATGTTATTCATAAAAGCCATTAAAAGTTTTTCTAATTTTTAATAATGTCTTAATTTTTTTGTTTTGTATTTTACAATTCAGAGCTGAATTTTGGGTAGCCGTGTATTTCGATTTTACAAAAAAATAAAAATCGATGATAATTTATATTCTACAAAGTCTTCTGCTTCTACACCGTCGAATTTCTCGAGTTTTCATAAAATTAAGTAAGGGACGGGTAACAGATGTAAAAAAATATATATGTGCCTACAAACGTCTGATTCGTAAAGGCGAACAGGATCCAGCACCGGGTCCACAAATTCACCACATTAATTGTGACATATGCGGAAAATCGTGCCTATCTTTTGCCGGCTTCAAAAGCCATTTGCGTAAATGTGCAAAACCTAGTGTGCACCCGATAATAATGTCACTGTAAACAAAACTGATCGGGTATGCCAATTCTTTGGCAAAATTTGTCGCAGTTTGGCTGGCCTGAAGAGTCACCTGCGAATACATAGAACTTGAGGGGGGGTGGCATGAAATAAAGGAGGTGGTCACGCTCGAAACCGAGAGGACAGCCACGATATATATACCATGAATTTCTAAAACAATATAAAAGCATGGTCTACTCTAAAATAATTCAATTCATTTGTGAATAAATTCCGAAAGTTTCATTAAAATCCGGCAATTATTTCATTTTTGCAAGAATTTCCAAATTAATGTTTTTCCCATGAAAAAGGTCGCTAATAATGGTATGTCGACCTCTGAAGTAAAAGAAAAAAAATTTTTAACCAAAATTTCGAACGTCCTAGAAAGGATGAAAAAAATTTAATAAAAAAATCATCAAAAAAATACTTTGGCATTTCCTCTTTAACAAAAGCATTTTGACGATAAAACTTCTTTTTTTATTAAGTTTGGGGCCTTTTTTTCATCATGATGTTGTTTTTACGGCGAATTATTGGAGATACCTCTCTAACTTAAAAATACTTCTTAGAATTAATTAAATAGTTATTTTAAATATTCCTGTTGTTATACATTTTCAAAAACATTCTAGTTTTAAAATTGATGTTACTTTTGTTAGTAATACTTTTTTTTCCTTATAGATTATTATCTTTCAAAAAATAAATAATAACAACTTTAAAAAATGTTTTGAGGACTTTTGCTTCAAAGATAAACAAAAACCGTACTTGGCAATTCCTTTTTTTAATTGTTTAAAAAGACAAAAAAGGAATCACACGATTCGAGATAGAAAAACAAATGTTAGTTATTAAATATTTTAATTTTTAATTAATTTAAACTGTCAATCTTTAAGAATCAACATTAATTTTTTTTTTTTTTTTACAGAATGGGTGTTTCTTACTACAAATTCGAGCAAATCAAAACAGAAAACGTTATACTTACTTCTTTCAATTTGTTGTGTTTCTTCCGTACGACAATTAAACAATGTAGAAAAACGTATTAGGAAGGAAAGAATGTCAAATAAATTAGATGGTTTTGTTTTTGTGTTAAATTTCCTGGAAAATCAAGTTGCTGCTAGTGGTAGCTATAAAAAAATGTCTTCTTAAGAGCGAAAGTCAAGGGAGATAATTCATGAAAAAAATGTTTTATTCAGTAAAGTGAAACTATGGATTCACCCAATATTAATTCTACCTGACTACGCTCTTCTTTATCATGGGCAAATATATAAACAATTAATTTCTACTTCCTTTAAATTCAAGTAACAAGACCCCGGAATTCTATTATGTGGATTATGAACAATATTTAATCATGAGATCATATGAGTAAGTGATTAGTAAAGTTAAGTCTGGAATCATTCTTTTGCCAGACAATCAAACAAAGCAAAGTAAATAAACGAACATTGTATGTAGCTGTTAAGTCAATAGATATAAAATTATAGTGTTCTAGTGTAATAGTTTAGCTAGTGTAAAGATATATTATTGTGTAATAAATAATGCTCTTGTTATGAAATAAAATAAGACATATCTCGGCTGATTTACAGGCAAATAAACTAACATACTCAAGAGCGAGAGCTGGATATGAACGGGACAAAGCCCCGTCACAAAATGACCATTATCTTCGTTTACACATGTTCCCGACGCACGAGTTCCAGTCAAAAAATAAAATAATATTTAAAGTGTTCTATTTTTCGTCCAATAAAAATGCTTCCCTTCTAATTATACTCGCTTCGTTTTTCGAGCCTGTTAAGCCATAAAAAAACGCCATAAAAGGGGTCACACGGAAGTACAACAGGTGGCCAGGGAAGAGACCTGTCACGGTCAGGTTGAGCAGTTAGCAGCTGTCAGCAGGGGAGCGCCAGCGTCAACATGTGCGAACTACTATGAGAGATTGACCTAGATCCGAAGCCGGCTTATGAACTATACCACAAGGTAGCTGTACCAAACCCTCACGTTCCTGTTGAAATAAATCACGTAAATCTATTTCTGCTATTGTCGTATTTCTTTCTTGCAACCATACGCTTGTCTATAACACTCTGATTTAATTAAAAGAATGATTCTGACTTCTTTGGATTTTCATAGAAATTAAATATTCACAGACATTACTAAATAAATTATAAATAATCGAAAAAACGCTTGATTCCATTGGTGAAGTTGAATTAAAAAGAACAACAACTTGTAATTCCAATGGACATTTTATTGTTAAAACACATATATTTCGGAAAGCATTTGCAATCCTTGATCACTCTTGAGAAATAAATGGAAAACACATGAGAAGCAATAATAAAAAGAATTATGAAGCGCCTTGATATAAGAGAGATGTTCTCATCATTAAACATGAATGAACGACATCTCATAAAAGATGAATAATGGTCAATGACTAGTAATGGCAAATTAATTTATAAAGTCAATTGCAAAGATTGTTTAGCAAATTATATTGACATAACCTTCAGATCACTAAAGGAAAGTATAGACGAACATTGGCGCCTTTGTACTAAGGTAAAAAATGAAACCGACCCCAAAAAACCTAGAGAAGTAATCTGCAATTGCACTATCAAAGGTTACGAAATAGACTTCAACCAACCTGAAATAAAATTGACCAACCAACACAAATTCAACCAAATTCAACCAAAGATTGGTAGCTGAATAAATGATAATAGCAAGTACTGAAAATATCTGTAATTAATTAATGCAGCACAACTTCAACCAGCGAGGACTTCCCTAATTTTATTTCTCATCCACACTCTCTTTTTCAACTTAAATTGATCGCCCCTTTTTCCTTTACACCTATACAAAAACAAAAGAAATAGACATTACTCTGCTACTCTGTTGAAAGACAGCGAACACAGACATTTTTGTCAAAATCACATTTTGCTTAAACGAACTAAACTAAAGCATTAATCTTTTTTACCCTATTCACAAGATAATAAATATACAATGTTCTATTTTCTACAAACGTTTCTTTATCATGTTGTTTCTTCTTAAAATTTGCGTTGTATTTTGTGGGCAGGGTATCTCGTATTAAATTCTCCTTTTAATCCGGGTACGCTGAACCCTACAATTTCTCAAGCAAGAGTGACTGAGGATTGCAAAAGCTTTCTGAAATGTATCTGTTTTAACAATAGATTATCTGTTGGAATTACAAGTTTTTGTTCTTTTTAGATTAGAAATGCTTAAAAAAATATTAACATTGTTTTCTTTTTGTAAAATTAGTTGTATGCATGTGTAGTATAAATCATTGAAAACTTTCTCATAAATTAGATTAATATTTGGATCTTTTCTGTTAATTCCCCCCAAAATAAAAAGAATTTATATTTACTAAAATTCACACCAAATTCTACCAAAGTAAGATCTTTCCATTGCAATCCTGTTGGGTTGACCTTTGCGATTACTCCAAATGTGATCTACTTGGGTGCAATATTTCTAAGTGTGGGGTCAACATTCATGTTCACATGTGTGAAATGTGAATAACTACCTGATTTTTGGTAATTTTTCATTCTGAGGGTTGGAGTTGTTGTGAATTGAACAAACTTTGATTAAAATTTTATAATTCAAAAGAGTGTCAAAAATTAAATAAAAAAACAATCTTGATTTATAATTTCTTGGGGTGAATTAATATTTGCAATAAGTTCCAAAATTAAACTTCTCTCCATTAATCATATGAGAGACCTCTCTCTGCCTTCCATCAACATCATTGATGCTAACCTCCAGGAAAGTGACTTGTTATGCCTTTTTGGGCTAACATTCTCAGCTGACATGAAGTGGAAACACTACATTGAATCCATTTCTAGGTCAGCTGTTAAGAAAGTTGGTTCACTATGCCATGTGAGACAATTTTTCTCTCTGGAATCAATATATAATATATATAAGCTTACCATTCATCCATGCTTAGAATATTGCTTCCACATATGGTCCGGTGCCCCTGCTATTTACCTTGAGCTGACATGAAGTGAAAAGACTTATATTGAATCCATTGCTAGGTCAGCTGCTAAGAAAGTAGGTACACTAGGACAATTTTTCTCTCCAGAATCTACCTTGTATATCTATTAGTCTACCATTCGCCCAGGCTTAGAATATTGCTGCTACATATGGTCCGGTGCCCCTGCTATTTACCTTGAGCTGACATGAAGTGAAAAGACTTATATTGAATCCATTGCTAGGTCAGCTGCTAAGAAAGTAGGTTCACTATGTTGGGCAGGACAATTTTTCTCTCCAGAATCTACCTTGTATATCAAGTAGTCTACCATTCACCCAGGCTTAGAATATTGCTGCCAGTGCCCCTGCTATTTACCTTGAGATTCTTAATAAAATCCAAAGCAGAATCAGCAGTATTATTGGTCCTGATCTGGCAGCTTGGCTTCAGTCACTTTTCCACCACTGTATGGTTTCCTGTCTGCGCTTTTTCTATAAATACATTCATGGTAATTGTTCGGATCAGTTCTTCATTATGGTACCTAAATTTTTTTAATTCAAGCACAGTACTAGACTGGTGTCAAGGTCTCATCAATTTATAATGTAAATTACAATTTAGATGTAACTGTAAATTCTATGCTAACAGTTTCTTTCCTCACACCTCTCGCTTGTGGAACTCCCTTCCAACTTCATGCTTTCCAGACAACTTTAATCTGCAAAAATTTAAATGCAATGTCAATCACTATCTACTGTCCTCCTGATTACTATTTCCTCTTCCCGCTCATTATTAATGTTTCTGTTCCTAATTCTTCTGCACACTGTAGCCCTTTGTCTTTTAGTAACTTTACTGCCTTGCTTGGAGTGATACCTATTAAAAACAAAAATCTATTTATCAATTACTCAATCAGCAATTAGTGTAATGGTTAGCACCCAAACCGATTGCCACCCAAGGCTATAGATCCAGTCGGATCTGCTATTTACACGTAGCTTTTGAGAAGAGATGGATTCATAACAGATGTGGTTGAACTGAGTTTAAGGATCCTGGAGAAATCTGATGCAGGTCTGATAAAGATTTCACCTGTGTCCTGTAGGGAAAAAATTATGAAAAATATGCCATTGGTTATAAAAATTTTCAGGAACCATAGCAGAAAGCAAGTGTTTAAAAGCACAAAATATCAGGTCCTGATTCAACAGGCAAATCATGTGAGACCAACCATCAGGCCTCTTATAAAAGACATTTGATTGAAAAAATTGACTGAAATAAGTAACAGAATAAATGAAGATATATATTTCAAACATTTTACTAGTGAATGCTGTGGTATCCTAGATGGGCCAAATGGATGGATTAAAGGCTGGTTAGCTACTGTCCTAATATGTTGATGCATCAAAATAGCAGAAATGGTCTGAGGTTTAGGATGCAATCTTAGGTGGTGAAGTGGTGAGCCCATGACAAGTTCTAGATGAACTTTGGAATGGTAGTCTATTTGTGGTGAAATCTATTCCAGATGAAGATATACAACTTACAAAATCAATGGATTGATGACTATTAAAAGTAGTTTTAGAACATGGATTGTATATTTCAAATTAATAGAGTCTTTATTAATTTGTTGTCATAAGAATGACATTTTTTAAAAATTTTTGTTAAAAAAAGTATTTTATCATTTTAAATATTCTGCATGTTTTTTTTTTGTTTTTTTTTATTTATAACTACTCACTTGTTGAACTAACTTCCAGCTTTCTAGAGTGGAAAGCAGGAAGTTTGATTTGATCTGAAAAAAACTTTAAATGCAATGTCAGTTTTTATTGTCTATATTTCTGAGATGAGGTATTGTAATTATTTACACTATTTACATTGTTTGCATGGTTGTCCTCATCTTTGTTTCTATATTCACAACATTTCGGCAACTGTATGCTCCAGCCTCCTTCAGGTGGTTGAAATTTTGAAATGAACCCTTTATATCATCCACTAGGTTAGATTATTTAAGTTCCGCATGACATGCCTCTTCCAGATATCTCAGTTCTCTCCCTTTAACTCAACTTGCCAAATTTTTTTGTTCACCTTTGCAGTAGCCAGGTATTAAACTCACAAATCTTTGGATTAAGTCACTGGATTCATTCAATACTTTTATCCTTGGGGATACATGGCCCAGTCTACCTTCTTGTTATTGTCTACCTTCATAATTCCTGTTCTTTTATTGTTCCCTCTTCTTAATAATGTTTTCTTTTTCCATATTCTCTCACATTCAGTAACCCCTTGTATGGTACTGTATTCTCTCACATTCAGTAACCCCTCGTATCTTAGTGGCTTTATTGCTTTGCTTGGAATGAAATGATTAAAAAATAAAAATTTCAAGGCAATCTTGAGGGAAACTCATATAGCCTTTTCTGAAATGAATAGAAAGCAAATCCTCATCAAACCCTCCAGAATGGGTTGAAATTGAAAGATTTATGTGTTTTTAGGTCTATCCTATATGAATTTCTTGTTTTCAAGCCATTCTGAGAATAAGATAAGGATTTTTGCCTGATTTGATACAGAGAGGCTAGGAAAAATGTATTAACAGCTTTCAACATGGAATAAAATTATGAAGTAAAGGTACAGAATAAATATTAATGGCTTTTTTAAAAGTCACTCATTTTCTTTATTCTTTGATCATGAGAAACACCAGCTAAGGGAAATAGTATTATGATTCATTATTTAAGTATGAACGCAAATGCACAAAAAGATACACATATTTCTTTTGTTTTTAGATCTGATGAAGCCTAGAATGGTGAAATGCATAATCAAATCTATTTTCGATGGAATGTTTTCCATTTGTCAAATTTCTTAAAAACTTTGTCAGGATTCTACATCCTATTTTAAACACACACACATATTATATATATATATATATATATATATATATATATATAAATAAAATACACTGTTACACTGGAACATGTTACTGCTACAAAATTGTACATTTTGTTTCAACGTTGAATAAATGTCTCATAAGGTAGTTAACAATGATGGTAATAATTCAATTATGAGACATTGTTTATTCAATGTTGAAACAAAATGTACAATTTTGTAATAGTAACTTACATGTTTTAATGTAACAGTGTATAATATATATATATTTATTACTTTACTCTTATATTGAGCCCTGTTTTAAATTAATGTTTTGAATGTTTGAATTTTATTCTTTGTTCTTTTACATTTGTGTGTGTGTATATATATATATATATATATATATATATATATATATATATATATATATATATGAGGTCTGAGAACAAAGTATCAGGACTGTTGCTATGGTAACAGACCAATAGTATATAGAGTGAAGTTGCTTTGCACAGATTGACCTTGAATTCTATTGCACATACCTACTGTTATAACATGCTTGATTGGAAGGAAAGAGTGTAGAATGTGGTTGTCTCACCACACCACAGAGGTTCCGTCAGTGCAGCAGTTTTTGGCCAAGTACAATTATTCCCTACATCTCATCCCTTGTGTCTTTTTCCTCATTATAAAAATCAAAATGATTTTGAAAAAAAAGAAATTAAAGATCATCTCTGACAAAATGTGTGCACACGGAACACATTACAAATATTTTCTGCATATTGGTTCTAAGTATGATGGAGTGGATTCGTTGATTCATTTCAAAATGATATAAATTTTATGTAATGTGGGTAAAATAATTTATTCTTTTTTCATATTGTAATTTCATTCAGAGGAGGCATAGTGGATAAGTGGCACGGATTGAGGAATCGGAGAGCCTAGTTTGAATTCCAGTCGAATCCATTACATTCATTTACATGATAATACTCTTGGAAAAAATATGAATCCTCTTCTTCTCCTCCCAGCTATGGGTAAATAGTAGGACAGACTGGGTTCTATAGCCTTGGATGGCAAATGGTCTACCGCAGAAAGAAATGGCAGTCATGTATCAAAAGATTCTCATCCGACCATCCTTCATTAAGCTGGAAGAATAGTTATAAAAAATGTTATCTTTGATATCTGAAACACAACATGTAAATCTTGACAAACCATGTTCAATGGTGGTAACTATGAGGAAAAATACTGCTTTGTTACTGAGCTTGCTCTACCTGTTGTACCTACGATTGGTATGAAAACAATAAAAATTAACTAAAAACAAATATACCAAGTGTTTATATCTGTTTATATTTCCAAGATGAGGTATTGTAACTATTTACATTGTTTGAACTGTTGTCCTCATCTTTGTTGCCATATTCACTCCTTCAACATCTGTCTCTATTTCTGAGATGAGGTATTGTAATTATTTACACTATTTACATTGTTCAGACTTGTCCTCATCTTTGTTGCCATATTCACTCCTTCAATATCTGTCTATATTTCTGAGATGAAGTATTATAACTATTTACATTGTTCAGACTTGTCCTCATCTTTGTTGCTATATTCTTGACACTCCAGTTGTTGTATGCACTGTCCTTAAAAAAAAAAAAAAAAAAACAATAACAAAAAATTGTAATATGAGCTCTAATAAAAAAATTGATAATGAAACATTAGGTTTATAAGTCCCCAAAATTCACTCACTAATGTTCCTAAAGACAGTAGATAAAAACATTGGTTGTTTGATCCAAAAGTGATTTGACCCATGGAGTTGTGAGTTCAATACCTGGCTACAGCAGCGGTAACAAAAACCTAGAGAGTTCAGTTATCGGGGAATTAGCTGAAAACTAAGATATCCAAAAGGCATGATACAAGTAATTAGAACCATCTACCTCCATGGACTAAATAAAGGGTTTGGTTCAAAATTCCAACAAATATCACCTGAAGAAGCCTGGAGCGTACAACAGCTGAAATGTTGTGAATATGGAAATAAAGATGAGGACAGCAGGTCAAATAATGTAAATATTGTAAGTATTTATATGTAGCACTATTATAAAAATAACAGCACTGATAAAATGTCTAGAATTAAAGTGTTTTTATCACAATTTAATAAAATGAATGCATATGGAACAAATTTCAAATACTTTCTACATAATGATTCAGGAATCAGAGAGCTGAGTTCAAATTCCAGTTGAGTTCATTACATTCTCTTATGTGCTAAAACCCTTGCAAAACATATGAATCCGTCTCTTCTCCTCCAGCTATGGGTTAAATAACAGGACAGACTGGTTTCTTTAGCATTGGTTGGCAACCAGTCTACCACAGAAAGAAATGGCAACCTACTGTGGGAAAAATCTGTCTCATCAGTCATGTATTGAAAGATACATGATCGCCCAAGTGTGTATCCCGTGTGGCACTTAACTGACTGAAGCACTTCTCAAAAATTAATATCGCTGTCTGATTGTCACAAATTAAGGTACTTCTCATTACAATTTGTTTAAAAAATTAATTAAATCTCAAGTAAGTGCTTCTTATCACAATGTGTTTATACAGGGTGTCATTTGTGAGAAAAAGAGTGCCAAGATGCAATTCACTTATATTTTTGTGTAATTTTAGTAAATATATCTGTTAAAATGAGATGTTAGTGTTGTTTTCATTTTTTAATAATTTAGGTTATTTATTCATCGCACCTTGTATGTAATACATTTAAAAATTCAATTGAAATTTCTAGTACCTTTCATTACAATTTGACAAAATTAATGCACATGAAATAAATTTTTAATACTTTCTACATTCTGATCTAGATTATGACAAAGCAGCTTTCAAAACAAAGTTTTTACGAAACATTAGCAAGATGATTTTCTCTTTTTTCTATTCAGTAATCTCATGTAACCATCTTTCTTTCAGCATGTATAATAGTTACAGAAATGCATTATGAAAGAATATTTTATATCAAAAGCACAAGATGAAACAGATCACTGAAAAAGTATCAATGTTAATTATTGAGAGCCATATTTTGGGAGGAGAAGGCTGTTTGCAAGGAAGAAATTGCAGTAGTTTAATCAGCATCATTCAAATATTACCAGTGATATGCCATATTTATTTCCATTAGAAACTCTTCAGGCTGATCTTGATTATCCACCGGAAGCTCTCATGGATTAATTAGGTGGTCAATACACAAAATGATTGCAATCTCAGTGAATAAATAATATAAAAAAATCCAAGATTAGTTTTTTTTTTATTCAGGGAATTACATTAGGCAGCAGGAAAATGACTGAAGCCAAGGTCAGGACCAATAACATTGCAGATTCTTCTTTGAATTTTGCTAAGAATCTGTAAATATATAGCAGAAGCACCAGACCAAATGTGACAGCAATATCCAATACATGGATGAATGGTGAACTTATAAATGTACGAGACAGATTCCTGTGAAAGAGTGAGTGATAGATTCAATAGAATTCCTTTACACTTCATGTCAATGAAAAATGTTAGCCTGCAAAGTTGCAATGAGTTACTCTCTTGGAGGTTAGCATCAACCATGCAAATGGAAGGCCAAAAAGGTTCTCTAAATTGATTAAACAAAGCCAATAAAGTAGAAGACAAAACAGATGCTGAATAAAGTGTCATTACCCATTATTGAGAGCAATAGATTTCATGAAGAAGACTATTTTCAAGCAGGAAATTGCAGTAGCTTACTCAGCATCATTAAAACGTTTCAAATGATATATTACACTCATTTTCAACTTGTATGTTGTCTTATCATGTGCTCATTGCATAAAATCATTCTAACAATAATAATAGAAGCAGATAATAATTCTTTTCTTTGATCTGTTTAACTTAGCAGTAGTTTAACCTATACAACATCATTATTTACTACTTTTCTTTCCATTTCATTGTTTATCAAGGTTCTGCTACTGCACTACTTAATTTCAGTCATGGTCATTTTTGTTAACATAGCAGGATATGACAACACAACTGCAAAATTCAAACATGCTTGTGAGCATGCAGCAAGCTATTCCCCAGCTTTCAGCAAACAGAGACAAGATCGAGGATTGAAATCCAACATTGGCTAGATCGTAGAAAGCATTGTATGTTTACACAGCCATGCTGATGCAATTCAAAAAAGGTTCTCTCTGATGATTAAACTAGGCAACTGAAGCATAAGACAAAACAGATCCTGGAAAAAGTATCATTACCTATTATTGGGAATGATAGATTTTAAGAAGTTCATCTTCAAGAATAAAATTGCAGTTGTTTAGTCAGCATCATTCAAATATTTTCAGTGATATGCCACATTCATTTCCATTAGAATCTTTTCAGGCTTATCTTGATTATCCATCAGAAGCTCTCAAGGATTAATTAGGTGGTCAATACACAAAATGATTGTAATCTCAGTGAATATATCACATAAAAAAAAAAAAAATTCAAATTTTTTATTCATTAAACAAAGCATTTACAATACTGGTGTCATTCACATCAAGGTGTTTAGGTTAGCTAGTTTACTATCATGGACCGAGTGTGTGAGTAACAATGAGGTCTTGGAGAGGATACAAACAAGGAGGAGTCTTATATTTAACATCAGAAAGAGGCAACTGAAGTTTCTGGGACACATAATGAGAAAGGATGGCCTGGAAAATCTGATACTCGAATAGAAGGAAAGAGAGACAAGGGAAAAGAACGCATGACATACCTGGCGGGCTTAAGCAAATGGATGACAGAAAGTGGCCTAGGGGAGGTGGCAGAAGAACAAAACTTATTGAGAGCTACAAGGAACAGGGGAAAGTGGAGAGCCATGACTGCCTACATCCTGAAAGGAAACGGCACATAAAAATAATTGATTTATGATTTAAAATTATGATGAAAATGTTTTACAAATTTGTGCAAATCTTCAGTATGTGTAAATGTCTTTTAAATAATTTTGTGATATTTTAGGTTTCAACAGTATATAAAAATACAATTCATACTTTCTATGAATGTATTTGTAGGTTTTATAAACAAAAATATAGTTAAAATGCTGAACAATGCATCTTACAAGAAACTGTTTATCTTCCAGAGAGAGAAGGTGGTTTCATATGAGATTTTCAAAAAGCTTCCTGAAAATGTTGGGCCACATGGTTCACATGAATATGGTCATTCTCTAGTATGTATACGTTTGTGCATTTTTAAATGTGAACTCACTGAAAAGGCAAAACCACATACCTCACATGAATATGGTTTCTCTCCTGTATGCGTTCGCATGTGTATTTTTAAATTTGAGCTCTGTGAAAATGATGAACCACACACTACACATGAATATGGTTTTTCTCCTGTATGTGTTCGCATGTGTGTTTTTAAATTTGAGCTTTGTGAAAATGCTGAACAACACACTTCACAAAGATATGGCTTCTCACCAGTATGTTTTTTCATATGTGTTCTTAAAACTGAGTTATTTGCAAATGTTGAACTACATACATCACATGAATATGGTTTCTCACCAGTATGTGTCCGCATGTGAGTTTTTAAACTTGACCCCTTTGTAAATGCTGAACCACACACTTCACATGAATATGGTTTCTCACCAGTATGTATCCGCATGTGAGATTTTAATGTTGAATTTTCTGAAAATGATGAGCCACATTTTTCACATGAATATGGTTTCTCTCCAGTATGTGTTCGCATATGTGTTTTTAAATTTGTATTTTTTAAAAATGCTGAACCACACACTTCACAAGAAAATGGCTTCTCACCAGTATGTGTTTTCATATGTTGCTTTAAAATTGAGCTCTGAGAAAATACGGAAACACATAATTTACATGAATATGGTTTCTCACCTGTATGTGTCCGCATGTGAATTTTTAACTTTGAATTCTCTGTAAATGATGAACAACATACTTTACATGAATATGGTTTCTCACCTGTATGTATTTTCATGTGGCTTTTTAAATGTGAGTTTCTTGAAAATAATGAACCACACACTTCACATGAACACGGTTTCTCAGCTGAATGTGTCCACATGTGAGTTCTTAAACTTGACTTCTTTGTAAATGCTGAACCACATACATCACATGAATATGGCTTTTCTACAGTGACTGAAAATTCCACTCCACCTTCTTCACATGTATAGGTCTTCTCTTCAGAGTAATCTTGTATGTTTACCTTTGCATGAGAACCCATTTTCACAGACATTCTCATAATCTGTACAAAAAAAATAAAGAAACATGTTTAGGGCTTTTTTGTTAATATGTTTTTTAGTTTAACACTCTAAATATATTTTTAAAGTTATTCTAATGTTTGCAGAACCATAATTGGATATTAGTGGATAAAACAACACAAAAAGAAACTATCATGTCTATAATGCCCTAGTTTCTGGTTTTCTCATCTTGGGGGCAAGCCTGATTGGGAGCCCAAGACACTGCTTTGTGACCCTTGCTATCTTATCAAAATTTGCTTTTTTCTTCTACTTATATTTTTATATATGTTACAAATTAAACAAAGCACAATTGACTAGTAAAGGATGAAAAGTTTTGCAGATTTTGACATCATTCTGGTTTCTTTTTATCCAAATACATGAATTTGTTTTGCTCATACTAAATCTTGTAAAAACACTAAATGAAATTCACTATTTTGTATCCATAATGATGTATATATTAAATTATTCAACGTTTTAACAAAAAAATTTCAAGTTGATGTTAAAAATTGCCACAAAACATTGTTGATCTATTTAAGATGAAATCATCTATTCTGATGTCTCTAATTTGTATTAAGATATATTGTGTTTGTTTTTAGTTGTTCTAGTTGAAATGTTCACTTATTTTGCATGAGATCCATTGTTGCACATAATTAGGTTACAATAAAATTTGTATATTATATAAATAATGCCATATGAAAATTGAGATATAGTGGAATGTGTGACCCTCTATGATAGATTGGGTGGGTACAAGACCCTTGCACCTATGAGTCAATGTTACAGCTGTTTGGGATATATGTATGTACTAGTGAGCCAATCAAAATGAGCTGACTCATTTTATATCCACCAAGAGAAGGGTTAACCAATCAGAAAGCTCAAAATATTCAATCCGATGTGTATAAAGGCAGCCATTTTGTTTTTTCTCCCAAAATATCTTCACTGCCAACCTATGATATCGAAGACTTAAAGAATTACTTAACAGCTGCTACTTTCTCCGAATCTTCACTGCCAACCTCTGATATTGAACACATTACGTACTTCGCTGGATTCTATATCCAAAGACTACGGCAAACATGGTCAAGAGTTAATATTTCTAATCTAATTTTTGATTTGAGGAAATCTAAGGCAAAATGAATGAATACAGTTATAAGATAATGAACACATAAATCAACTTTCAGATCAACAAATTGATGCTTGCAGAAACAATAACACACAGTTTATTTAACAAGGGCTACAGTTACTAGTTTACTCCTTTCCGATTCATTCCATAATGTGGTTTACTTAATTATAGCTGGTTTGTGTGTTAATGTGTGTCAGTCTTATTCAAAACATACTGAAAAACAATATCAACACTCTGGAGTGGTGACTGGTAATCAGTTCAACAATTCAATAAAGGAACTTTAATCTCAGATCCACAGACAAAACTGTTCCTCAAATCATGTTTTTTTCACTTGATTATCAGTCCTCAAATGAAAACTTCTTTGACCAGGGAAAATTTCTTCAATTGACAAAATTCAACAAACATGAACTTTTGTGCCTGCAATAAGATGAAGTATCAAAAGAACATTTTTCCCATGACACCATTATTTTAGCTACCTTAACTCTTCGGCAATGTTAATGGTTTTAAAAAGCAATGATTAGAATTATAATAAAACCTGTAGTGAGTACGAAATAATAACTCCTCTTACCCTATCCCTTCAAATTCAAAGGAAAGAAATTCATGAACCTATGTGAGATTTTTGCCTTTCACAGAAATTAACGAGTGAGCTGAGGAAGAAGGAAATAAATTTTAGAGCCTGTGTGAAATTGTTTTTGAACCAATGAAAACCTTGCCTTCACAGAAATTAGCCAGTCAGTCAAGAAGGAAAGAAAGTAGCAAGCCTACACAAAATTCTTTTTGATATAAAATAAGAAAAATTAATCAAAAGAGTCTCTGAAGTCAGGTGAAAGGTTTTGTTTGTTCCTTGTGACTAGGGTTGAAGTACTCATCAGTGTAAAATTATTTATCGACCTCTAAGAAACACGCAGCTCTTCAAAGAATTTTCTCACAACAAAGAAAGCTAAGTATTTCAAACTATCTCACTTCGTCTACTTTTGAATGTATGCCAACCCTGTATCCATTTGGTGGGCAACGAATTCTCTTACCTTTGTCATACACATTTGTAATATTATTTTGTCAGATCATTTAAGCTGTTGTATGAACACTTTCTCTTCATGACAATACGTTAAAACTAGTCTTTAAGAACCGATTTATTTTCTTGAAATGAGTTACTGACACTACTTCAAGATTGTAAATTCCTGAATAAATCATTTTTTTGTTAAAATTATCCTGTATTTCGTCAGCATTATCATATGAAATAAACAGTTGATTTACCTATGCCAACGTGGGTAAATCAACTGTTCATTTTAAATCTCTAAGCCCCACACTAAACCTAAAAACATATGATGAAAACGAATTTATACTTTTTGTTCTTGAGAATTTACAATAAACACTATGCAATAATTTGACAGTTGCTAAATGAAAAAAAAAATGAAAATTGTAAAAAAAGTCTTAAAAACATTCACACTCGAAAATGCCACTTAAACTACATTTTTCGATTCTTCAAACACGTCTTTAAAAGAAAAAAGAAAAAAAGAAAGGTCTTCTTACGAATAGCAATGAGATGAATATGTTTAGATTTTTTTCTGTTTTAAATCTGAAAGTAAATTATCCCAGCACCAAGTGTCAGAAAAAAAATTATTTTGAGGGATTTTATTTTTGGTAAAGTTCAAGACGAATTTTCCGGATGTCGCATAAATCTTCTTTACTGAAATAACATCAGGGATTTTTTTCTTTGTAACTGTAAAAAAAGTTGCTAATACAAACCAAACTTAAAAAAAAAAAAGAAGTTCACTACACATATGAAAAAGTTGGGGTGAAACAACCCCCCCCGCAAAAAAAACAATATTTCCACAAAGTTTAATGAATGACTACCAAAAATTCCTTTTGAATCGGATAATTCTCTGATTTTTGGCATTTTTTAATACATGGGGGTAGCAATTTATTTCTGCTTTCATTTTTCAGGGGAAAAAAATGCATCCCTTTAACTAACAAAGTTTTGAATTTGATACATTATCCGAAATTCATCAAAAAATGTCAACACAGTAAATCCTTGAAATTATTTTTTGACAGAGAATAAAATAATACTAATTAGTATTAATTAATAATTAAAAAAATAATATAATTTCTTTGTTTACATAATTTAATTACGAAATGAAGGTTTCTCTTTTCTTTGTACAAATTAGTTCAAAAGAAAATTTTATACTTACCTTCTTCAGTTTGTTTTCGTCTTAATTTTCTTCCGTAATAGCAAGTCGAAGTAGAAACAAAAAAAATTCTATTAAGTTAAAAAAAAAAGGTTCTGTATTAAAAATTTTCTTGAAAATAAATCTATTGTTAGTTAACAAATGTCTTCTAAAGAAGGACAAGGGAGATAACCCAGGAAAAACAATAATATTTTTCCTTTTTTTTTCAACCATGAAACTAAAAATATTCACTAGATTGGATGCTTTAAATCTTAACGAAGTTTACTTTTCTTTTTTTGTATTAAATATGACAAATTAATTTTTTTTTAAATTGTAAAACTATGAAAATTGTTGCAATCTTGTTGAAATGATAAATATAAATTATAAAATTAATTTCAACAAAATTCTAAGTGACAGGCAGGTTTTTAAAATTGAAACTCTTTTTTCAAATATGACTCGTATCAAGTGAATTTTAGGGCTCTACTAATACACTTCAGTCAAATTAACAGTTTTTTTTTTTGCTATATTTTGTCTGCTTTTTGTCTTTGTAATACCAAATTCAAAAAATCCAAAAGACAAAAAAATCCCAAAGACAAATTTTTTTTTTTTTTTTTTTTGACAGTATAAGTTCCCAAATATTAAAACAATTTACAACTACAAAATGTAAGAAAATTGTTCTGGGAGATATTTAAGACAAACAGTTTCTTTATTTTCTACCAAATATTACAAACATGGCAAAAAGATTCCATAAAACAACAGACACTGTGTAAATCAGACTGTATTGATTTGACATTAACATCACCATGTGAAATATTTGACCAATCAGAGAAAAATAAAGCCCTATTTTCCTCAAGTCAACTTTTGGAAAAAATTTCTTATAAAAACCTATAGATTTCAACTTTGAAGAGGATAATGTGACTGTCTCCAAGTCATTTAATTGCAAGAGAAGAAGTGGCTATATAGCTTTTACTTTCCATCAGCGAATGCTAAAAGAAACATGTGTCAATTCTAATGTCACTTTTTAGTAAATTGTAAGTTAAGTTTCTTTACGTGGCAATAGTTGTGTGAGTTGTGTTGAGTTGTTGAAGAAAGGTTGGTAGTGGTTATTGAGTCAGTGAGTTGGTACACGTGGGGTCTGCTGGTATCTCTCAAAACTCAGTGTCTGACTGACTTGAATTAAGTCGAGTGATTCTTTTTATAGATTTTTGAGTTTCCAAATAGGCTCCAGAGACCGGCGTGGGGAAAAAAAGGTTTAACTAATGGTGGATTGAGTTTGGAAAAATAAGTGCATCTTCCCGTAGGGGGTGACAGGCAAATGTGGAGGATTCCATAATCTCTATCCTATAGAAAATTTATTGGATCACATGAAAAATAAGGTTGCAGCCAGTTGTGAATTCTATCAAGGATGATTGAACCACTTGGACTCATAGCATGCCTCTTTGTATTGAAGTGGTTATCAAAGTGAAATGTAGTCATACAAAATACTAGTTTATATTGAAAGTAACAGAAAATAAACTGCTTTTAATAAACATGATGCATTGTACTGCATTTTATTTTTATGTCATTGGGATTTTTGTTCTGTTACAAAATGTTGGGTAGGTTTACTATTTGGTGGATTCTCTCATCGTATTTGATGTATGAGGGTCAAGCAGCTCAGTTCCTAGGAACTGATACCAGCATATATGATTTGATTATAGTGGTGAAGGTTTTGTGCAGAACCAATCTGTTGTGGAGTAGTTTTCACAGTGGAGGCTTGTATTTTAATAAGTCGTCCTAAATTAGGTTCGACATACAAAACGTTAAGAACTTGGAAAATAAGAGTTAATGACGCAGCAATCTAGTTGTGATGGTTGGTACTTCAATGTCCGATATCGTCTAACTACCTCAACACCATTGAGCCGAACTGGCGACCGCTACTACTACTTATTACTTATTATCTGTGGGAGAGTCCATTACAATAGAATAGGTAATATGGCATGACACAATCACACTTTTTGAAGGGCTGGATACAGAGACCTGGTGTACTACGTGCCACAAGGTCCCCAAATGACCCTTTGCTGGTTTTGAATTCAAAGTTGTCCTTCTAATAGACCAGTTGCCATCCAATGTTATAGAACCCAGTCTGTCATGCTATTTACCCATAGCTGGAGGGAGAAGAGGATTCATACATTTCTCAAGGTTATTAGCATGTAAGTGAATGTAATGGGTTTGACTGGAATTCAAACTTGGCTCTCCAATTCCTCAATCCAATCCGCTATCCACTGTGCCCACCTAAAGGTTTACAGTAAGTTCAACAGGCCCAACAAAGTAAAACTGGTAGCTGCTCATGAAAATAACCTCCAACCAGTTAACTGGGAGAAGTAATAGCTTATAAATTTAAAACAAAACTGCTATGTTTTAATTGTCAGAGAGAGCATATTTACCTTCCATCAGCATGGTAAATTTTATAATGACATTCAGTGTAAAATATATAGGGTTGTTCCTTGTATTTATAGAGGGCTTCCTCCTCCCAGTGATCCAAAGATTGAAGCCATTTCGAGTTTCAGCTATTGTAGGGCCACCCATGCTGGTAAGGTTGAAGAGATTGAATGCAATCAACCCTGAAGACTCCCAATGATGGAATAGACAAAGATCTATATGATCTCAACAGCCAAAATGGCAGTGCCAGCTGGGATGATGTAGCCAAGGTGGACACTGACAGACCAAACATCCAACAGCCAGACGCAACCAGGTTTGCCAGATCTTACCTGTCTCAAACCCTTTTGAGTTGTGAGGGAGGTGCTTCTGGCCAAGTGTGTGGGCTTCTCTGTCATGCAGAGTTGTCCACCAAAATCAAATTAATGTATCAAACTCTCTTTGATTCACTGCTATCTCCTCCACCACCACCATCACCACCAGAGGAGAGAAAGGGAATAGGGAGAGAGGATGATGATTGCTATGTTCAGACATGAGTGAATGCCAACATAGGCATGGCTGATGCTAATCTCCAGGAGAGGAACTCATTATGCTTTCTTTGTCTCACATTTTCCACTGATATGAAGTGGAATGATTCTATTGAATCAATTGCTAGGTCTACTGCAAGGATAGTTGGTTCACTGTGTCATGCCAGACAATCTTTCTCACTAGAACCCATTTTGCACATTTATAAATCTACTATTAGTCTATGTCTTGAATATTGCTACCATATCTGGTCTGGTGCTCTTGCTATATAATTTTGAGATTTGTGACAAAATCCAAAGAAAGGTCTGTAATGTTATCAGACTTGACCTGGCATCTTGGTTTCAGTCATTTTTCCCTCTGTCATGGCAAGTTCTTGGTACCCTGACTGCATAAATTTAATCATACTACTAGATTGGCAGTTAGGTCTCATTGTTTTACTCTTGAAATAGCTAGATGTAACCGTATGATCTATAACATGCATGTCAAACATGCAGACTATGAACTGCATGTGTCCCTTTACAAGCACACTTGCTGCCCACAAAAAGGATACTAATTTGGTCATTTAATGATAAAAACTGCAGTTTTTATAATTTAGAAATTACAGTATTTAAGAAAATAAATCACATTTTTTACATTTCAATTTATTTTAATAGAATAACAATTAAGAACATTACTTACTGCATAAATTTATTTAAAATAATTTTGATATTATTGACAAACATTAAGTTAGTATGGTACTAAGCTATTATTTAAAAAATTGTAGCAAATATCCGATATTCCTAGTGGCTGAGAAAATAGAATGGGAAAAATTCTCTCTAGTAACCATCATACCACAAAAACAATATGGTAGCTCATTAACAGAAAACTTTCTTTAAAAATTTTAAAAGTTTTTGCTTTCAAAAGTGAAATGTCAGCCAAAAAAGTTTTAGAGGCATTATCAAAATTGCTTTATCTCTTTTTACTGTTAGCTGGACTTTAAATGTACCAGTAGTTTTTACGGTTCAACATCATCAATTCTAAAAATTAGTTTCTTTCTACTATTTTGACATTAAAATGGCTAGTACTCCCCCAGCTAAGGGGGATTGAACGAAGAAGAGTAAGTGTTTCAAGAAAAGTGGAAATTACGTTTGCACAACAGTGAATGAAAAGATACATTGTTTAATTTGTAATAACTCCATTGCCACGTCAAAAAGTACAACCTGAAAAGACATTATGAAATGAACCATTTATCTTACGATAAATATGAAGGCACAATGTGTATTTCAAACTCAAAGATATAGCAAGACTGTTTTTATGAAGATTCAGAAACAGAATGTTGCTTCTGTTACTGCAAATTATGAATTTCACTGAATGATAGCCATTAGTGGAAAATCTTACAGTGAAAGAGATTTTGTAAAGCAATGCCCTGTAAAAATAGCTGAAATTGTATGCCCAGAGAAAGCACACTTATTCACAGTGTGCCTCAAGTGCTGCAGCATCTGTTATGGCTGTACTGGCCCACACAGGAATGACAGTCTCAACTGCAACCAATGTATGTGAAGACACTCTCCCCTGGTGTTGTTTTCTTTTCTTTTAGCAAGCCTCTGTTTCTTCTCTCCTTGCTCCAGCCCTCAGTATAAATTCTGTCTCCAGCATGAGTGATTTTTGGCAACATCTTCCCACCTCTTGATGTCCATGTCCATTGCTCTCATGTCACTTTTGCATATGCTTTTGTAGCAGAGATGAGGTTGCTGTCATGCCCTCTCATGGCCAATTCCCATATAGAAGGACCTTTGGAATCATCCCAGCAGTATTGCTTCCTGTGTTTTGCTGTAACAGTGATGTGACACTGGAGTGTACTATCGAGGGCACAGATTGACAGTTGCCCATGTAGCATGTCTCTCCTCTCCACATCACCATTATTGTCCAAGGAAAAGTTAGAATCCAATACAGCACTGGCATCATTGCAGGCATTGCCAGAACAAAAACTTGCCATATGGATTGATGAAATATCAGGTGATTCGAAACAACAGTTGAAGGTTGTATCATCAAGTTTGGAACATTTTTCTACTGCTATTGATGACTGTTGACATCACTAGAATAGTACAGCTTACAATCTTCATTAGGGCCTGTGACAGTGAATTTAATATTTATGAAGAACTAATTCAACTGA